GTGTACGCACACTCAAATGCGTGTATACACGGGTGCGCCTGTATCGTCCTCGACGAAAAATACTGTTCAGCATAAATTTCGCAAGGAATGGTATGTGTCTCTCGGTTCAGTACATTCACGCAAAAGGGAATACTCTGTGAAGCGCGTGCGCATGCGCATGCGCACGAGGCTGCGTCCCTTAGCGTGCGCGCGCGTGAATGAGCGAGTACGAAGTTTATTATAATGGCGTTATGTACATTATACCACGTTGCTCGTTAGGCACGTATGCACGGTATGAGGAAACGGAACGGCCGTATGCCGTAGAAACTATGTACGGCTCTGGCGAGGTCGAAAAAATGCCCGGTGGCTATCTCCCGCGTTTACCCCATACCTATGGGGGATTTCCGTACAATGTGCTTGCCGCCGCCGGCCAGTGTTCACCGATACGACCAGGATACCGACGGTATAATTAAGAAATTTATCTCGGCGACTCGAAATAAGAAGCCGACCGCGTAACGCGCGCCTCCATTGCAATTAACATCTGACGTAGTTGTTTTTGCGATGGAAGGGGTGAAGGCTGTTGTGTATTGTTGTGTACTGTTGTGTGTTGTATTCTCTGCGCTTGCGCGTACGGGGAGCCAAGAAATTATAATAGTAGCTTCTTTTTCTCTCTTGGAAAAAAGAGAGAAAAGAAAGTAAGAAAAAAAAGTGATTAACTTTCTGTACTCACCGTATCTGTGTTGTTGGAACTCTTTAGAAAACTTATTTTTCTACTTTTTACGTGTCAAATTTTCTTAGATAGACAAATAGACTGTTGGGATATTTTTTAATAAATTACGTTGTCCATATGATTCTATTTTTATTTCTAAAGCAGGTAAAAAACATTTCTAAATTAATCTACTCTAACGACACATTTAAGAAAGTATGTTATCATAAATACTAGTAATCTAAATAAAGATTAAAATTGAAGAGATATGTATAAATATATGGTCGTCCTCACTGTCGAATAAATAATGGCAAGTGCCATTATATGAGCTTAAGTATACGTATACATCGAGGTTTACATTAATATCTTTAAATGAACAAGGAAAGATAATCTGGCAAGTTAGAAGGCTTCGATGAGATTAGCTAGAACATTTAACGTTTAGACACTCCTCTGCAACCGTGACACGAGTATACGCCCCGAGGTCTTTTATGAGATTATAACGACACGTTCTAGCCTGGTCGTACCTTGGCTACATGCTTCTTACGTAAATTGCTTATGATTGTCTTATAAAAAGAAGCAAACGGAAAACATACCTATATGATTACAACCACTATTTCCTGTTTTGTCTGACTTTTCGGTTCACATAAAAAAGCGTAATAGGTATTTACACGTTATATGGGTCTCTAATGGTCATTTAATTCCCTTGAATACCAAGAACAATTACGACAAAAATATCTCGGATATTCTTGATAATTTACGTGTTTGCGTAATCAAAATTAAAAAGTCTCTATATCTGTGTATATAGTATTTCAAAATTTGTATTGCAATGCATTTCTTTCTTCTTCCTCCACCTTTCTCTCCTCCCTTTTCCTCTTCTCTTCCTCTTCCTCTTTCCGTAACACGTCGCTGATTTTTCTTAATAACGCCACTCTTTTGTTTCAGTTCAATGTATCCGGTGTATTAAACTCCAAATTGAAATAATTAAAACGCACGGCTCGCCGGTGGTTACAAGTAATAATAATTAAAATGGAACGGTAGTGCGCGAAGAGGAACGTAATGTACTGAGCGCGAATTCGCGTGTAATCCATCATTCGTGCATTCCGTATTCCACGTAGACGCTGTACGTGCTGAGAGAAAGACTCGTTTCGTTGGAGGAATGCGCGGCATTATAATGAGAACGGGGCAAGTCCACGGTACAACTCCGCGACTCGATTATTTCGTTTAATTACAGGGAACATTAGACAAGTCACATCCTCGAAGATACATGCTCTCCCGGGGTTCTTCTTTCTGCGAAAAAAGTACCGCGACTTTATTGTTCGTCGCTTGCCACATGACTGCACGAGTATTCGAAGAATAGAGATTTCGTATCTTACTCCCATTATGCAGGATAGGTCATCAATTGTTGCAGTTGGAATTTTCTTTTCCCTGATAAAGCGAGTTGGAGACACGTGCGTGGCGCCACCACAAGTTGCTTCATTCTTGGAAAGTTAATTGCAATAGGTAGTTTTGTAATTCATTTTAGTAAACATTTAAATAAATGAATTACACAATTCTATTTGATATGATTCTGAAAAGAAAAGAAAAAATTAATGTGTTATAAAGTTATACAAATTGTAAGTAAAGTTAGGATAAAACCGTAATGCAATTAACATTTGTTTTGTAAAAGCAATCAATATGTTTAGTTTCAGATTTCTTGCTTTCGCCATTACTGAAAATATGCAGCTGTTCTTGGCAAAATTAACATTGACTTTTATTAAGATAGAAATGTAGTTATACAAACCTATTTATTTTCAGTCTACCATATTAATTATTATTATATATGCGTACTATGTTTAGATACATATTTTTGACCGGTAGATTTGTGTTGCTGCTGTTATATGTACCAACCGTAATCGTCCGCATGTTAAATGTAAATTAAAACTGACGTTCATAGACATTTTAACTCATTCAAATAATCCTGAGCAGTAGTCTAATAGTGCAAGCTTCTGTGCTGTGCCTCTTTTGTACCTCAAGGCGTTGCTCAATAATAGAATAAATATGTTAACTCGTTAACTGGGACGTTGCTTAATTAGAAACTTCTTCGAGCTAGAAAAGATGTAACAAAGGAGGATTAATTTTAGCTAAATTGGTGTTGAACTTTGTAAACATGATGCATGTGGTGATAATACCAAGATTTAAAACTTCAATTAAGGAGACGTACATTACTTTCTACATACATTATTTCTTTCACATGACCCCAAAAATAAAAGTCCAATGAACTAGGATCTAGTGATACAGGAATTTGTAGTTCAAGTGCACATGTTCTAAAGGAATTTTTAAGTTTTTAGAGTCTCAGGTTTTCACAAAAAAATTGTATTCTTTCTTTTCTTCGCTTCGTTTTTATATGTAAAATTATTCTTTGCCTGGTTGTACCACCCACTTTGCCGCTGTAATAACAAGAATAAATAAAAGTGAAAAAGAAAGAATCCTGTTTCGAATGCAAATGTAACACTTAAATACCTTTGCTTTATGGAATATTATGGATAGTCTCGTAATTTCGTTGCGATACTCGGTAGCATTTTCTAACTACCGTTGTGCTTATCTTAATCTTCTTTAGTGTAGTCTATTACCCGAGCTTTGCTCGAATAGAGTCTGTGAGAGAAGAAAAAAAAAAGGAACGGAAAAATTAACAGGATTCTTTACGAGCTCAATTAGCGGAAATTTCTAAGTTTATGGCAGAAAATACCAGTCGTTTCTTCATTCATAGGCGCAACATGGAGAATACTACCGCGCACCGGATGATGATGGCCATAGTGCATAGCAAAGACTTCATAAAATAATAGTGGTTGCCTTCTCTGTGGGTTCAATTAACATTTGCTGCATATTCGTGCCATTGTTATGGTAAACGAGTATTTAAATGTTAAATATTGTAACTAATATCGAGTATAGCTGGTTTAGGATTCTATCATGAATATTCCTTTGCAGTTATTTGGAATGTATAGTACGAACTTCAGGAATTTCTCTGCAGAAAACCATGTGTAGATTAACTTGGAATAATTTCTGTTTGCATCGTATACCTTAAAGAAAAAAACGTAAGTAATTTTTTTATTCAACACGATATTTATGATAAATAATAAAAAGTAAAACTTTTAGTTAGGCGAAAGTGTAACAACGGTATCTTTTGATGTACAGTTTAAGGAAGATTGATGTTAAGTGTTGATGGTTTCGGGGTGGGGGAAGTGGTTCTGGAGAGAGTAGAGTTAATCATTCATGTGGTATTTACTTGCACACTACTTTCTTACGCGCTGGATGTAACAGTTATAACACAACGTGCATGTGAACAGCCGGTCACGAGTCCCTTGTTAGGCCCTTTAATCACAAAGAAAATTAAATTATCTTTTAAATAAATATTGCAATGGAATTTAAATTTGTATGAAAATACATTTCTTTTTCGCGAAAGTAACATAGAGAAAATAATAAATTAGTAATAAAAACCTTTATTAAATTTTTGTCTTATATAGTATAATTTGCGTCGTTTTGTTATACAAAATCGAATTTGATTAATAATTTCCAAGTTTAAATAGTTTAAAAGCGATAGATGCATACCTTCGATATTTTCATACGCAAAAGTGTAACACACATTATATATTTTGCTGTAGCACCAATTGGTCTAATTCATAACCAATAATCATCTCGACGATCTTCCTTTAATTCTTTGCTAACCTCTTTCACATTAAAATCGTTTCTACAATTCATGGCCCTTACATAACCTACACAGTGCACCACGTTGAATTAGCGATGAACAAGTACTGCGTACGAAAGATGCGCGTATTGCGTAACGCAATTACTTGGACGAGAGAAGACAGCGGTGGTTGCCTAACACGGATGGCGGCAACCATAAAGGCTCCATCGTTTCAAAGGTACAAGGAAAGTCGAACGAAAGTTCGATATTCGAAGCAGTGATGACCGCGTGCGACGATTGATACTATTAAGACATGTATCCACCAGTAGCGCGAGTAGTTCACAAACGCACGCGAATCTTTCGAGTGATCAGTGAAAATGCGCAGTACGTACGAATTCGCGCCTGTAACGCGTCGCTAACCTCAATGTGTGCCTTCGAGTCAATCTGTCGTTTGTACGCTTGTAGCATAGACGAGGAACTATTGTCTTTAAGAACTAGCCCTATCCATAGATCAACGACAGGTGTTCATAAACATGCCCTTGTTTGCTAACATTTGTTTAGTGAAAGTGCTTGACAAATGTTTGTCACGAATGCTTGCCATTAACATTTCAAAAAGCTCACAAACGTTTGCAAGCGTTCTACGTGACCAGTGAATATGAGGCTTTAGTAGTCGAAACGAAGCTCGAGGTGGTCCACTCGGTCTCTCCGTGCGGCGTTATTTCCTTACGTAAGCGCTGCACAGTACACGGGTCGTTGCTTCGTTCTGTATGTCACCGTGTGCCGCGCACGGGAACACCAGTCTGACGGCATTCCATCGTGATTTGCGAACGTTTCGGTAAACGTTCAGCACACCCGTGGTTCGCGCGGTGTTTACGTCTGCTCCTCGTTGCAGAAGAGAAGAAGAGGTTGGCCGCCTCGTGGCGATAATCGGAATTCCGAAAGGAAACCGAGTACGTGTAATATCGACCGTGATTTCGTCGAATCGAGCTCCTCGACAGATCTTCGATCACGATTTTTTTTTTTCTTCTCTTTTTCCTTTTTTAATAACAGTTTTGCCTGATGCCTCTTCGTAAACGTCGTTTTGACTGGTTTACGCGACACGTGTCTTGTTCCACAGATTCGAACTCCACTCTGACTGTTTTTAGGTTAAGGTCAATTACGAGAATTCTCCGAGACGTGGCGCGTCTAGTCGATGTAAATAAATGATCGATAGGTTAGGTTTGTTTCCTTTTATGACGAGACGTTACATTTTTCGCCCTAGAAATATCGGAGACGATATTGTTGACTGTAACATTGAAAATCGTACGACGATGAAGTAAGGTTATAAAAATGAACGATCGACTGAAAATTGCGCAGTGGAATTGATTAATTGTAACTTGAGGTCTTCTTGTTACTCGGAAAGCCGTATGATCGTTGAAAAACGATTTAATTATTTGTCACCGCGAAGTCACGCGTGAATGTAAAAAATTCAGTCGTAGTTACGTGTATGTTGTACCATTCTTGACATACGTCAAGTTATCAGGAAATCGTGTCTAATACCACTGCGTTGTGAAATATGTTTGTAACTTTCAATTATCTTCTACGTTGTCTGGCTGCCAAAATCGGTATTAGGAGATCAGGGTCTACATCCTGTGGTTTTTCGCCTAGAATCAGGTTCGAAATCCAACTGGAAATCCAGCCAAGTAGAAAACTGATGATACTTCCCAGGGGGCAGTACCACATGTATGAAATCCGATACAGATAGAAGTATGAGTCATTGTTACTTTGCCTGCAATAGAAAAACAGTATAATTTATCACCTCTTAGAAACCAATTATGCTAAATTGTACTACTTGGAACAAGTATTAATTTTATGATCAAGAAAAAGTGTTAGTAATTTGATATAATAGGTACAAGTATACTATAGTCAACAGACATAATCGCCACCTTTATAACATGAAATATATCTAAAGCATAATATTTATAACGCGATTTCGATACCGAAGATTCTTTCTTTCTTATTATACATTTCCCCATAATTCATGTGAATGTTTTTGCTTTAGCAATACTATGGAATTATACCAAATTTATTGCTTTTGAATTATCAAATGATAATAATACCTATGTCATCGGTACATATTTTTTATGAAAGTGGCAAACATGCCCTAAATGTTTCCTATTATACTAAATCAAAGAAGTCCTCGAAGTGGAAAAATCAGGAAACATTTGCACGTGTCAGAGGATGAAAAGGAGACTGAGAAAGCGCATGGCCAGTGAATAACAGGTGAATTCCTTACTGGTATTCGTTATGCAAATTCGACGATCCCTCGTAATCATAATGTACAGTGAGTTTGTTTGGAATTGGCGGCTTTGGCTGCCCGAAACCCATCCACAAGCAGAATGCGATGCTAACCAATAAACCGATGATCGCGCCTCTCTGATTTCCCATTCGCGTGAACATGCCGAGAGAGAACATGCCGAACACAGGGCCGCCAATCACACCGAATATTGTGAGTGCTGCCTGAAGAAGTCCGCCAAGGAAGTGGCCCATAAATGCCAGTGCTATACAAGCAATACCGACTATAAAAGCCAGAATCTTGCTGATGATGATTGACCTTGTTACTGTTAGCTCCTTGTTCCTGAAATAACGTTAATCGTTATACTGGCATAATTGATTACATAAGTGTTTGGCTAAATAACTGGTATGTTAAGAAACATGTAATATCACTTTAATCAGAGCAGATAGATCACGCGATAATATAAAACGCTCTAGTTTCTAGCTCGGTAGAAATCAATTATTATAATCTAGGATGTAAAGCTTAAGAATAATAGATATTTACGAGATTTCCAGGTATTAACTTTGACATTGTCAGTCATTTCACGAAACAGAGATTCCACGAGGACAATTAAGATGCTTTCTATCGAAGCCCCTTCGAAGAACGTCGATCCACGTGACGAAAGCTTTAAATCATCGAACATGGTATTGCTTCTTGTCCATTTTAATATTTGAAATTTAATATCTATGACGCTGATATATTATCGATGGACACGTTATAAATTCAGTTCATTTCATGATTTTGCGAGGCTCACCGAAGATGGTATATGGGTTTGATAAAATCTTCGAGCATAACGACGGCCACGGAATTCACCGTGGCGGAGATGGTGCTGAGTCCAGCGCTGAAGATGCCGGCAATAAAAAGCCCAGGCACACCTGGATACGCGGAGAACATGTCCATCACGTAAAGCGGCATTAATTGATCGTACGAGTTGATTCTTCCGCTCTCGAGGGGGTCGCTGTCGCGATACTTGGTGTACATAGCCAGTCCAGAGAAACAGAGGCCCAGAGACATCAAAGAAGCTAATGGCCAGGTCCACCAAGTAGCTGCCTGCGCGTCTTTTAGGTTCCTGAAAAGCACGAATGTCAGGGATAGATGATTTTACAGACGATTATTATTAAGTTGAATCGGCAGCGTAGCGGACAAGCAACGATTTATCGAACGATCGCTACTGGCGGTATGCATGCAAGATGCGTGGCTTAGATAAAGGCCGGGGAAAATTCCTTCGTCTTTCTGTCGTCACGCTACGAAGAAGAGAATCACGATAATGTGCCTCGAGATGAATACAATGCTCGGACTGGGATACGCAATATTCGAGCTATCTAGAAATTTCATTCGGAGGCTAGTCCGCCTCGTCGTCGATTTATCGAACGTTAATTTACGATTCAAGACCGGGGAAGAAAGATCGTACGATTCTACGATGGTGCATCGTTATTTGCTCGTTCCAGCGCTGCTTTTTGCTACTATGAAATGGATTAGTGGAACAGTAGGTTGAAGAATCACTGCCGCACAAATGTTAGCTGCATCCAATTTAAATAAGAGTAATTCGACTGAAATGACGAATCTCGCGTAATATTTACTACGTTCTTCTCAAAGAATACTTTTGGTCTCTCTCAAAAGAACTGCTTCTGCGATAAGCATGATAAAAACGATTTATTATTGTACACATATGTTATATATATTATTTATGATTCTCAACTTGTGAATGTGACATTGTGAATACAATGCAAAATGCTGGTGAAAATGACAAGATATATCACTATTTTAGTGCAAATTTTTATTCATCAATTTAGGATTTATTGCAAAATCGCTGCATGAAAGTTTGTTGATTCTTTTTTACAAACACCGTAAGCATTTCGAATAGCAAAAGCAATATGCGCTGCATACATTCATAAGCGTCGAGATGAAATTCTTGATGTCTTTTAAGATTTGGAAGCATGTCAGCAAGATGTCGGTTTTGCCGATGGACGTGTATAATTCGCGATATCGCGGGACACGTATGCATCGTGTAGAAAGTCAGCGGGTACTCACTTGATGGTTAACATTCTCTGAACTTGAACTTGGTTGGTGCCGTACAAGGAGAGGTAGGTGAAGAAACCGCCAAATGTCAAGCTCCACCAGGTGTGTCGCACCGTTGGGTCCATTGAAATGCTGAATGAATGCACATACCATTGTCAGTATCGATACCGGCTTGGATTCCTCGTAAAATAAATGTTTCATGCTCGGCATGGTATTTGAAAGTGTGTTAACCGCATCACGCTCATGGCAATTTACAATATAATGCCAAAGAGAAAATCGATTTAAGCAGTTGCTAGCACACTGTTACCCCTGTTATACAACGTAACGGTTCGTATTATAACGATAGTTAAAGAACTATGCTCTGATTGTTTCGGTGCTCTGAACAATAAACAAGGCGTAATAATATCGTGATATTTAAACACTGATAAATTTGGTCTTTAGGTAACAATTCGCTGGATCTTCTCATGGTTATTTAAAATTAAGAATAAATTGCGAGTCTAGTAATTGTACAAGATAATGGATAAATAATAATGAAACAGGTGAAATTGTGGTTAATTAAAGAGTGAAGTAGTTGCAATCATTAATGCAGAAGTATGGCATCATTTTGCGTGTAATATTTCTATATTTTTCAAGAATAGTTTTAGAAGATGCAGCAAAGCCAAAATATACTTCATGTACGTCTAATTTACATTTCCTTATGTTTCCATAAAAGTATTCGTGGATCTTCCTAGGCGCAGAAAACATTCAGACTTTTCTGAAAATTTGAAAAGAAGTAAAAAAGAAATATTTTAGATCACAGCATTCTACATAATTTCATAATTATAATTATGATTATAAAATACGAGTCTAAAAAGTCGCGTGACAGAGAATTTTTATTGGTTACGGTAGTCAGAATAATATTTGAAAATAATCAATATTCACTTGTCGAATTCGATCCTTGATCCTTCTCGAGCAATCTCCCAAATCTGGTCAATGCCTCCGACGTTCATAACTGCCGTGACGATCACCAAGACAATGGCTACCAACATCAACAGACCTTGGAATACATCGGTAACGAGGACCGCCTTAATACCGCCGATGGTCGAATAAAAGGTGCAGACCAATCCTATGACGATTACGCTTGCGGTCTTCGAGAAACCTGTGGTGGTTTCCAGAGCAAGTGCCGGCGCGTACAATACCACGCCACTGTACAGAAGCAGCTGAAGCAAAAAAGCGAAGCTTCCTACCATCCTTGCTGCTTTTCCGAAACGTTTCTGCAAATACTGAAAGTACACGAAGTTCCTTTTTCCTTTTAACTGCATTAATATAATTAATTATTAATCACAGAAAGAATACAAGATAAATATAAATTTGACTCGTTTGTTGTTTAAAAGATATCAATATTTCAAGTACACATGGTATATATTTATATGACCAATTTTGTGATAATATTTTTGTGTATTCTAATTGTGAGAACCACTTTATATTTATTTTTCTATATTTATCTTGTTTTTTCAAATTTATTTACCAGCATCAGTCATTGAAACTCCATACTATAGATAAAATAACTCGATGTTGTTTTGATTCCAACAGTCGTGGTAAAAATTCTATTCAGTGATAGGTCAGTTTCATTTATTATATTCGGGTGGTATATTGGTGACTGCGATGGTATTAAATTTCACAAACAGGAAGATTATGTGTTTATTTCAACTAATAATATCTTTGATGTTGTTAGAATCTGTGCTTTTAATCTTTTAACGGTATTCAAATTCATTTTTTATTTATAATTCATACAAAAGAATGTCTAAATATGATATGACGCAGTTACGTATTGGCGCATGCGCTGTCGTGGAGGCGTACGGTTTGGCGGGATTCAGTGCAATGGTACCGACAGTTTTTTGCAAATATATCGAAAACTAAAGTCGGACGAGTGCTAGATGTATAGGAAAAATTAATTCAGAATTTTGTGTTCTATGACATATTTCAAAATCATCGAAATCGGTGAGTAATATCCTAATCTAAATAATTGCTATTTATCTATGCATACTATATGTTGTTCAAAAGATGAATCTGATGGTTATATTTCTATAGTTCCATTTTCGCTTGTACAGTCATTAACAACAAAGAAATATTTTTCTTTGACCCAACATACATAAAGACTAGCGTGTCGGTTAAAGCTTATGACGGGGATTAGACTGGGTGATTGAATTACACCTTCTCACGACTGATCTTCTGAGAAACGTATAATAAATAGTAATTTTCAGTTACAACCGTACGTTCAACAGTGAACTTACCTCGAAAGCACTGGCTTTTCCAATCTTGAAGAATATCGGTAAGTATAAATAAGCGACGACGGGTGTAGCAAGTCCGTAGGAAATATTGATCACAGCATACTGAGTGCCATAAACGTAATTTTCTGAACTGACTCCTAGGACACTGACTGCTGATAGGTATGAAACCATTAAGCCTATCGCGACCGGTGCCACTCGCATCGTTCTGTTCGCCATAAAATATTCCTGTCGTGAATTATATTGAAATTATATAACATTATCACAGCTTGAATTTTCTTTTCTTGTATATATCGATTTTTACTTGTTGAAATTTAGTATTTGGTAAAAGTTGTGGTATTATATAAATAGAAGTGTCATGTTAGTTGTAGTATCATAATAGAAACACGCAATTTTAGAATATACATATAATTATATTAAATACTATTATTTTGTATTACAGAATTTACAACAGACTTAAAATATAAAAATGTTCGGAGTTTGGAATTAGAGAGTAAATAAGACCTTTAAGGTCTGAAAACTCTTATATCGTACATATATAGCTTTATGATTAGGTCTACAGCTATATCAATTTGGTAGGGAAGAGATGATCAGAAGCTTTGGTTACTAAATGAATGATCCCAGTTTGCACAAACTTGTATCCTAAAATGGAAGCTGGTATGAATAATTTGGTTTGATTAAGATACATGTATCAGTTGGTTACACTAGTAATTAAGAGTCAGAGATTTAGAAGACCGGTCATCTAACAATTATTGCAGCATTATGTATCACAGAAAGGAGTATTATTTCCAGAATAAATTTATTCGATATAAGCAAACTTACCTCCGTTGATCTTTGTTTTCCACCGGTCAGTCTGTAATACACACCGATCGCCGAACTAATGATCATCGTTACTACGATCACCGCGTAATCCGCGACTTCCAGGGTAGCCATGTTCTACTTTTCAGGCTGGATTCGACGGGCGACTAATGCTTGGCCTCAACTCGATTGTCGGCAGTTTATTTATTTGATGTATCGCTTAGCCGGCAAACGTTGTTCCCTCAATCATTGCTGGCTTCAACACATTTAACATTGATGTCATTTATGTAATGATTTGAACAACAGCATCTGCCATTCGTCTACGAGCTGTATTGGGACCTTTCTTTCCCTTCTTTTTCTGCCACGCTGGATAGATGTTGATGGATTTCGTCGAATATCTGTTGGCCTCTTTGGACGTTAATTTTGACATTCGTTGAAATCACCGTGGGATCATTTGTTTTTGCACCTTCTTCATTCATGAGCATCACATGTAATACTTGATGTATTATATTGACATATTTCAAGCTGCTAAGGTGTTTGTATATACATAGCTTCTATATAGGCTTGTCGTTCATCCTCTATAATTGGATTTTTATTTTCTTCTGAGATAAAAGTTCACAGTCATTTAATAGCTCTATATTTTAACTTAAGAAATAAATGGGAACTGATGTTCGTCATGGATAGATAACTTGGTGATAGTGCTACAATAAGATAACATATAGTAAGAAGCACAATTTTCAGATGAGCACTGATAGATGTGAATATACGGGTATAAAACCTTTTTATACTATATTGTAACTTATTTTACCTATAAAGGTCTGGAGTTCACATACATACTTTGATTAGTAGGTCATATCACATAGTAAGTAGATCTACCCCAATTGGCAATCATCAAGGGTTGACTAACACTGTTGCTTTTTAATCAGGTTAATCAGTTAAGGCTTAGACGACTTTGTTTGTTTCTGTTACAGAATTTTATTCTTGAACATTCGTGTAACGAATTATGATATCTGACATCCAACAACGAAGAATCACTCACTGCGATAATATTACAAAATAAAAGTAATGTTACAATACATATTACAATGAATTTAATGTCGTTTGTCAATATTTATAATTTTTATACGTGTGGTCACTTGCAACTCGAGTTGTAGTGTTAAAATGAATAGCAATTGAGAGTCGTCTATTGAATGCAAAGGGTTAATTTTAGAAAAGACACTGAACACCTGTATTAAACACTTGATCACTTATTTTATCGCATGTAGCTTTATTCGTCGGTTTGAACTACCACTATATCAACGAGCCTATACGAGCAGGTGATAAAAGAGTATTCTCACTTAAAGAATATTATCCTCTATGTAAATACTGATGAACTTGGTGACAGTACCCGACGAGAGTGTATCAACGATTGTCTTCCAGTCGTTACGATTAGAGCAACAGCCACAACGAAGTGAAACTCGCGAATGTCTCTTACCACCGCAGTCGCTTGTATTATTCTCTCGCGTGTGTGGCACTGGCTACATAGTTATCTTCGATTTGACGAGAGATGTCGCGATTTTTATTCTGACGGGGAATGCTAATTACGTGATTCGAATTTTATCGATGTCTGAATTAAACCAACTACTCGTGTTGAAGTCTTCCGCCGACTGAACATTACGAGAAGCTGGACGAGTACTTAGGATTAAGAGACAGATAAGAACGTACATGCGATAAATTGAAAAACAGAAAGCTTACTGCTTTTATCACTAAATTTTAGATCTTCAATTGTACAAGTTTGAGAAGCTTGATATAAATAATACCACTTATCGATTGTAATGCATTACGTGATTATTATCGAAAAAGTCTATCCATTTCGAGGATGGTACCAACCACGTACTTTTAGTATTCTGATGACGCCTGACGCAATTATTGCCTCCAATGAATTTCAACATTTCATGACTTCTTATATATATATTTCTTCCATTTTTCCTTCTTATATTTGCTTATATTTTCTTATTATTCTACTTATGTAGCAAGAATCATATTTCGTTGGTCTTAGAAGTTATTTTCCTCATTAAACGATCGTTATAGTATTAAGATAATTCACCTTACATTTACTGTAGTCGTAAAATACAATGTTATCGCAGAAATATAGAGAGCTTTGTGTAACTGTCGGTGCGGCTGCAAGGAGAATGATTTCATATAAATAAATAAGTGAAAAATATAGAACAATGTTCGTCTGAGATTTAATCCTACAAAATTAAATTTATGGTAAAAGTTTGTTTACTGTATACATACCCATCATTCATTAACTACTTGTTTTACCACATTCTTGGTTGCTCCGCGTACAAAGATAACCGCTTACTGTTTTAATTCATTTAAGTACTATGTCTTACAGCCAGACAGTTTTCAAGAATTAATACATTTTTATCAACTTATTTTCATCCGATATTATTCCTTTGATAATATTCTTTTCCGAGACGAGTTTAGTGCTCATTAATCGCGCATCGATTTCAACCAAATGAATTCCACATGAGATGAAATTTAATGATAAATTACATGTGATTCCCGTTCGACAATAACTTTATACGATTAAAGTCATGATCAAAGTCCAACATGAACTAACTGGGTACGGCTGGTCAAGGACCTCAAATTGGCAATCCATTATTTCATCGATTCATCGATATCATCGGTATCACTTAATTAGACTTTGCTTCTTTTTTAATTTTTTAACATCTTCCAGTATATCGTCCCGTTATCGAGCTTTTCTTTACGCAAAGTCACGAGGAGACACACGAGAAGTTGCTGCTATAAACACACAGTTACACTATAAAGATTACAGTTATAAAGTATACGGCAAATATTAAGTGAAAGACCATAGATATCGGATCTCGTATAGGTCTGTGACAGTGTTTACGGTACTGGCGACAAGCGTTTCCTGCGTGCTATCATAGAACGCGTTGTTTGCACGACAAGCGCTTCTTACGAAGCCACGGTTTATGCACGTTCGCGGCTGTACAAACCTACGCGTTGAACGTGCACGTACGCACTTCCGCGTTCCCGTATCCTATCTGAGAGAGCGCGGGTGTCCCTTACGATTATCGTCGAAATAAATTCCGCGGTAACCTATGGGTCTTCTTCTTCTTCTTTTTTCTTCGTGGTTTTGCTTCCCTATTCGCATTAGAATAGAATGCACGGCATGTTGGAAACAGAGAAAGGGAAGAAAGAGACGCGTCTTGCATTCTGGAAGATGTGCATCTGTCGAATTGATAAATAAATCTACCTGTCGTTAGGTATAATGTTTATGGGGACATCTGTGAAAAAGAAGTTACTTTTTAGGGATATAATGGTTGACAAATTTACTGTTTTCTTTTTCTCTCCTTTCTTCTTTTTAAGAAAATGTAAATGTATATACCTGAAGACCTTTAAATAAGATATGAGGGTAGATATTTCATCATTTTCACCTTTGAAGTCAAATCTTGGGGATATATTTCTGCAAATATCACGTTTGTATTACAAATACAGATATTAATCTATATGTAAATGTAAAAAAATAAAACACAGGAATAATATAAATATTTATAAAATAAAAAATTCATGAAAACAAGGGGCGATGTAAATTACTATTACCTTGGTACTTTTTATAAATAAATAAAATTCAATTTCTGATATAAATAATTGTCTAATGTTTAATGATCCGTATCAGCCAATAGTTGTGGTTACTTCCTCTTTCAGATGCCTTAGCGCGTGAATATTTAATGTGGTGCTTGTTTATATCTCGCCTTGTTGAAAATATAGACATATTTTCTGAAAAAGAATATTATTTTTGAATTCCTTATTATTTCATAATCTCGTAAATAACATTTCGTATTTACTGCACCAATTAAAAAAATTGCACCTGATTAAAATAACATAATACGATGATAAAAAAAGTAAATGTTCGCGATTGATCTATCGTTAAATTTAATGGTATTATTTAACAGTACATTTTGAGATTAAAACGGTAGCTAGTTCACAAGAGTTAACTTATTGATAATCATAGTTTTAGAGGGCAAGCGTAGTACAAGGTATCGAGTTCGATATAGAGGCTAGGCAAACTTGTTTGTTCAGCTAAATAATTTACCTACACATTAGCGATTCTACGGTGGATGCCTGTTAGCGCCACCTCCTTGTCACGAGTTGCTCGTGTAACGCGTTAAGGTGTGTAGAACGTACGCGTTACTGGCAAGATGCTAGACAATTACACGAAGTCCGATGGGCTATTGTTGCTCGACCTATGAATCATGTTGAATCTTCTCGGTATTGTGTCGAACTGAACTTGATATCCTATTCTGTTCTACTAAAGAAATATCGAAGTAACGAATAACAATAAGGATACAATCGTACCTTTTGCATAGTGAAACATTCCGAAGCTACAGTGTCGAAATAATTCTAAAATTTAATCGAATGTCAGTTGTCATATATAACGAGTTAATAATAATCATGTACTTACGCATATGTATCAAGAAAGTTACGAATATGCCAACAAGGATAATTTCAAAGGCAGCAAGAAATCGAACCATGTGGTTTATAAACAATATAACCTCTACGTACATTATTGGTACTTCAAAATTGCTGCCTTTAACCTATATGTATGCATCGAACGTTTTCATGTTACGATCATTAAGACGCTACCACAGTCCTCGATTGATTTTAACACTCAAGTCACCACGCAAGATAGATTGCATTATCATTGCAACTAGCGAAGAAAGAACGCGCGACCATTTCGGCAGATATTCATTCCACGGCAGTATTTTATTGGTCATGGACGAGGTGCGCCCGTGCTGCGCGTTACTCGTGCGCATTCTTCGTTCCGTCAGAGGCGTCAGTGTCGCCGATCTACGTTACGAACGGTGATCCGTAACCGCGATCTCCGTCACGACGATAATAAATTTTCCGTATCAAAACGTCGTTAAGTGGGAATTATTTTGCAATTAAGAACAGGTTGTTTCGCGGATCGAATCGATTACGATCTAATCATCCGCCGCTGCCGTTGCCGCTGCAATTTGCCGTTGGGATTTATTCATAAAACCGTCGATTTATTCGCAAACGCGTAAGAGAGGCATTCCAGCGCGGCTTAACGAGAATGCTAAACCGCAAGGGCAGGAGATCAGGGACTTTACTGGAATGCGCGGCGAACTGCATGCACGCATGATGCATTCGTCGAGCCGTGGGTGGAGGGAGATGGAGAAAAAGAAGTGGTGGGGGAAAGAAAGACGGAGGCGCGTAGGACGAATACGGTGCACTCTCGATACACCTTTTAACACATTGACTGCCGGGTGAGTTTTACATAACTTGTCTACGGTGTTCGATAACATCTAACTTATTCAAAAATAAAATCGTTTATTTTTAAAGAGTTTAGAAAGATCGTTCGAATCTAAATGATTTATTATCGAATCAAAGGTTATTATATTTTCTAATGAGTAGTAACCTCAAATGAACCTGAATGTACTCTATGTTATTATTACGACGTAATTGAAAATGCCACAAATAACATTGTTTATTTAATTTAAGTATCTTAGTTAATTTCGTCATTGTAATTTATTAGCAAATGTCAGTGCATTGTCAATTCAGTCATAGAAGCAATTCTTTCCCCGATTTTGTCCCCCTCTATGAATTCTCGTTGTAAGATAAAAAGAGTTCAGATAAATATCAATAGATCGCGCATGTGTAGCGAATCATCGGGCAGAGTAGGAGAAATTTTTCAAGTTTCGAGTGTGTAGACTGTGTTGTTTTAATTAATGGCGAACATTCGTGTCCACGATTGCTCTCGAAACTTCCGTGTTTAATCTTCGGTTTGTTTCGTGATTTCTCTGTGTTACAAAGGGGGCGGATGATGAACGAGAACAAACAGGAAGAGGCAAAGGTGGGAAAACCACATTCCTCTCGTAGGTCTAATTACCCAGCTTCTGCAGTTTCGAATGACATAAGAGATGTACTGGTTCTCGTTCTTGAGACACTAACCGCGATATCGCACGTCACTTCGTTAGGTTGGATACAGATGAGTGTGGTGGGGATATTTCCCGCGCGTTTTAGCAGTGTCTAAATTATACCAGAAAGCATACGCGAATAATCGTGTGCAGGTAATAGACTTAATAAAAGTGGGTGAAAATGAATTGTCGCGAGTGTCTTGTGGTTTGTGATATTGCGAGCATTGTGACATTCAAATAAGCAATCGGTAATCAATGAGAAACGCCTATACGATAAAACCTGTTTGTCGAACCTAAGCTGTGTCGCAAAAATGGCGTTGCGAACTGTTCTTTGTGAGGTTAGCTTGGCACGTGGAACAAGGAAAGAAAGAAAGAAGGCGGAAAGGAAAAGAAAGGAAATCACGAATTGGATCTACGATAGCATAATGTACCGGCATAACGTTTTCCTTAGCATACAGTCACGTCTGGATTCTAGCGAAGAAAGAACGCGCGACCATTTCGGCAGATATTCATTCCACGGCAGTATTTTATTGGTCATGGACGAGGTGCGCCCGTGCTGCGCGTTACTCGTGCGCATTCTTCGTTCCGTCAGAGGCGTCAGTGTCGCCGATCTACGTTACGAACGGTGATCCGTAACCGCGATCTCCGTCACGACGATAATAAATTTTCCGTATCAAAACGTCGTTAAGTGGGAATTATTTTGCAATTAAGAACAGGTTGTTTCGCGGATCGAATCGATTACGATCTAATCATCCGCCGCTGCCGTTGCCGCTGCAATTTGCCGTTGGGATTTATTCATAAAACCGTCGATTTATTCGCAAACGCGTAAGAGAGGCATTCCAGCGCGGCTTAACGAGAATGCTAAACCGCAAGGGCAGGAGATCAGGGACTTTACTGGAATGCGCGGCGAACTGCATGCACGCATGATGCATTCGTCGAGCCGTGGGTGGAGGGAGATGGAGAAAAAGAAGTGGTGGGGGAAAGAAAGACGGAGGCGCGTAGGACGAATACGGTGCACTCTCGATACACCTTTTAACACATTGACTGCCGGGTGAGTTTTACATAACTTGTCTACGGTGTTCGATAACATCTAACTTATTCAAAAATAAAATCGTTTATTTTTAAAGAGTTTAGAAAGATCGTTCGAATCTAAATGATTTATTATCGAATCAAAGGTTATTATATTTTCTAATGAGTAGTAACCTCAAATGAACCTGAATGTACTCTATGTTATTATTACGACGTAATTGAAAATGCCACAAATAACATTGTTTATTTAATTTAAGTATCTTAGTTAATTTCGTCATTGTAATTTATTAGCAAATGTCAGTGCATTGTCAATTCAGTCATAGAAGCAATTCTTTCCCCGATTTTGTCCCCCTCTATGAATTCTCGTTGTAAGATAAAAAGAGTTCAGATAAATATCAATAGATCGCGCATGTGTAGCGAATCATCGGGCAGAGTAGGAGAAATTTTTCAAGTTTCGAGTGTGTAGACTGTGTTGTTTTAATTAATGGCGAACATTCGTGTCCACGATTGCTCTCGAAACTTCCGTGTTTAATCTTCGGTTTGTTTCGTGATTTCTCTGTGTTACAAAGGGGGCGGATGATGAACGAGAACAAACAGGAAGAGGCAAAGGTGGGAAAACCACATTCCTCTCGTAGGTCTAATTACCCAGCTTCTGCAGTTTCGAATGACATAAGAGATGTACTGGTTCTCGTTCTTGAGACACTAACCGCGATATCGCACGTCACTTCGTTAGGTTGGATACAGATGAGTGTGTTCGGTGGTGGGGATATTTCCCGCGCGTTTTAGCAGTGTCTAAATTATACCAGAAAGCATACGCGAATAATCGTGTGCCGGTAATAGACTTAATAAAAGTGGGTGAAAATGAATTGTCGCGAGTGTCTTGTGGTTTGTGATATTGCGAGCATTGTGACATTCAAATAAGCAATCGGTAATCAATGAGAAACGCCTATACGATAAAACCTGTTTGTCGAACCTAAGCTGTGTCGCAAAAATGGCGTTGCGAACTGTTCTTTGTGAGGTTAGCTTGGCACGTGGAACAAGGAAAGAAAGAAAGAAGGCGGAAAGGAAAAGAAAGGAAATCACGAATTGGATCTACGATAGCATAATGTACCGGCATAACGTTTTCCTTAGCATACAGTCACGTCTGGATAAATACATATACGGGCGTATCGAGACACGGACATGCGATCGCAACGAATCGTTGATAAATGCGGTTAACGGTCCGTTAGAAGACGCTCCCGGAAAGCTGTATGACGGATAAAAGGAAACGATCAATCGACTAATCCTCTCAATAATACGAGACGCTTATTGTTGATTGATGATTATTTCCTGCTATACAAGATTATTTAGTGGTTATCGAAGTTTGGGTAGTTGTGAATATGTCGTGTAATTTGAAAGAATACATTTACGAGGATATTTCACGTATTGTGAATATACATAAAGAGTATAACGGAAGAAGGCAAATGGAAACTTTTGGACTTCTGACACCGATATACATCGTAACAGGTAAATAAATTAAAATATACTAAAAATCATAACGTGTATTCGCCATATTTATTTTAATATTAATTTATTTTAATATTAATTTATTTTAATATTAATAAATTAATATTATAATATTAAAATTATGCGCCATATTAATTTAAAATTCAGTTTTGAATTGCACTCCATAATGTTTTCCTCTTTTGTCAATTTACGAATTAGCATGATTAATGAAACAAAGCAACAATCCAAGTTCTTATCTAGCAATGTTTAATAGGATTTTTCTTGTAGTTTTGAGATACGGAATATGTTAGCAAATTTTCATGCACTGCCATTGAATCAATCACTATGCAATCAGCATTCAACTTTACATTCGGGCTGACACATTCACTCTCACTCGCCTAACCGGAAATTCATGAAATTCTGCACGTTTCACGGGCGCCGGATACGATGTAAATTCAGTATTTACATTCGCACACACCTCATTTCCAATCATGCCAATTTCCAATCATTTTTATTCGCAAATTTTCCAATCAAAATTCCTAAAATAATATTTTTACATCAAAAGTAGTTTCTTCGAGACAATTTACATTCATGCATACCTAAACTACAAGTCCACCAGTTCTCGATCAATTTCATCAGCTTACATTTATGAGAAATGAAAACTAAATTACAAAATATTATCGAAATAAACAGAATCCCATAAATTCGTTAGATTTACTGTTAGTTATCCGAAAGAAGCTGAATTCTGTGATAATTGAGGAACCTAACCTATATATCAGCAGTGACTCCGATGTCGCTACGACACTAACCTTACTCTATTCCACATTAAGTCAGATTTGACATTCTATTTTGATTGTCTTATTTTAATTTTTATATAAAACTAAAATTTCGAATAGCATTTCAAAATACATTTTTAATCAGAAATCAATTCGGATAAGACGTGGAATACGATTTACATCGCAAAGGATTACAAACAACCAATCCACGAAAATTAAATATATAAAATGTTAGTATCACAAAAAGATATGTGTATATATAGAATCCATTTTCTTCAATGATTTTCCCATAGTGGAAAATATGCCAAAAACATTTTCTCGTCTGATATAAGCGAACCAATATCCATCCTACAGATTTTCCAGCGCAAGCCGATAGCTTCCTCCTAGTAATCTGCACGCCTCCGTAACTTCTTCGAAAGCGATTTCTCCAAATCGACCGACACTGCAGCCAATGGCAGACGCTGCCAAAGATGACAGCCTCTCCAGGTTCGTCGTCCTTTCTCGGTCAGGGCTCGCTCTCTGTCCCCGCCAGGTAGGTAGGTTGCTAGGTAATTAGATTTGTACGGGCAGCATCGGCGTTGAGAAAAGGACGAGAGGTGGCGAGAGTGCGCAAGACACGGTTACTCATGCCGGTGGAATGTAGTTCACATTGTTTATATACCGCCTCCTACGTGCATGCACGTCGCACTTCGTCGAACGATAAAACCAGTCGCTGGCGCTCCCGTCGTGGATATCGGTCCCCGTGCGCGTGCGCGTGTGCGCGCTACGTCGGTCGCCAACTTTCATCCCTGCCGGTCCGTGGAATCCTCGCTCTGTTTTCGAATTCGCCGCGAGTGGTCGCGGCGGCGCTAGGGGAAAGGCATCACCCCTATACGCGTCGTTCGAGTATGTTCTTCGACCGATCGAGATCTGCATACTGATGCCGGCGACGAGCTAATTGTCGGAGATCGGTACTGGCACAAAGATCGCCGGTGTCGCTTGTAAAACATCCTAGATCGTTTGACGAGGCGGTAATAAAAGACTGGTAACGCGGATGGCATTCGTTATACAATGTTATTCCGGATGGAGGAATCTTATGGTTCGAGTACTTGCTTTGTCGTAAAATATAAATATTCCTTTTATTTACCGACACTCTATCTGACTCTTGTAATCACATTTATAATCATTAAATTCGTCATTTTTAGGTATGAATGTCTTAATATGCGCTTGGAGGAAGTTTACATTGGTCAGTATAACTGAAATAGTATATTCTATAAATTTGCAAAATTAATTACAGTATATGCTGTATATTACTCTAATTTCTACATCTTTCAGTTGGTACAATGTCGATACCGAGCAACTCTGGATAAGAATACTAACACGCGTTGCGATGTGGCCACTAACCCACGAATCTCCTGGCAATACGGTTCATCCCCTATCAGGCGTCCACCGCGAGAAAGCGAACTATCCAGCTAACCGTAGGCTCCGCGCGCAAAAATTGACTCTCCGTGATTTTCCTTCGAAGTCGGTACGCGGGGTCGGTGATCGCGAGGAGAATGCTACAGGGACGCAGGTTGAACGGCTGCGAAATGCATTGGCTATCGGGGTCCAAGAAGGAACGAGAGAGACAGAGAGAGAGAAAAAGACAGAAAGATAGACGGGGGGAGAGAGCGAGAGAGAAAGAAGGAGAGAGAAAGAGGGATGGTAGAGGAGGGTAAGAGAGAAAAAGAAGCTTGGTACGGGGGTAGGGAGAGGGAGAAGGAGAGACCGGCTTTTATAATGGCGCGGCAGTTATACCGGTAAGCGAGTAAATGCATCAACGTGCTGCAAACCAAGAGGCACCTGAGAAAGAGAAATAGACAACTCTGGCTACGAGTATGTACGAGGAAAAGAACGGACCACGGGAAGAGGGTGGGTACGATGGAAGAGAAGGGCGGGAGGGAGGTGGAGAAGGGGAAGAGGATCGAGGAAAAGGGACAGAACGAGGCTCCTCGGGGTGTGGGCGGATTGCACGCGTCTCTCGGTAATGGATCCCATCGATCATCCCTCCGCGGGTAGATGGTTTCTCCTCCTTTCTGCTCTCTCGCGGATCGTCCATTAGTCAATTTCGTCGATTACCGTGGCGACTTCGTCGAATCACGGGACGACCCCAAAATAGCCGAGTCGAGGACGTGGTGCAGAGAAGAAACGTTGCTGCGACGGCGAAAAACGGTTTCGTGGCGCGGTTGTAATGATAGGATGCTACGGACAATGTTGCGAATTATGTCCCGGCAGAGCCGCGTGACAGGGGTTGCGCAAAATGTGTTGGAGTTTAGAGTCTCTCCGGGTAATTTTTATTTTGCTGTCGTTGGTATTTTTTAATGCGATTATTGTAGAGAATAGATTGGATTTTGTATGATGGATTTGATATTACTCGGTGATTCAATGGGAATATGGACTTTGATGTTAGGTCTTCGATGCGAATCTTCTAACCCTTAGGGGGCTGCGAAGCCTATCTATTGGCTCTACCAAGAAATTTGTGTATGAAATATCTGGCATATGAATGTACTGATTTTTAAATCATAAGTTACTAGTTATATTTCGTAATTTGCTGACCGTATAAGAGTTAAAAACATGCGATAAATGTACCAAATTTCTTGAGGAAACAGCGTGATTGATATCAATGTGGCGATTAGTATTTTGGAAATATTTAAGAATTTTTTACCGGAAGTCACATAAGAATTTGGTTCCTGTAATACAAGATTAGTTGATAGTCTATTGAAATATTTCACATCGTCTACGTTACACACCTACAACTTACCCTACTTCGAAGCTACCACGTATGTTCAAAGATTTCTAACGTTATCCCCCCCGATTTATCGAGCATGAAACAAGAACGACTTCGCGATAACGAGATTCCTTAGAAGTTACCTATATCGGAAACACGTTCGTGACAATGTAATAAAGGTGCAGTAACCTTCTCATACAAAGTATATAATCGCGATGCAACATTTCGAAGAAGACTCCCTTGAAATCGAAACAATTAATCGGTTCCAGGGGGCTTGAAATTCCATGGAGAATCTGATGCCCTCCGCGTTGCATTTTTTGGAGGACTTATTGTCCGGCCGATTTATGAGCGGCTGCCTGGCTCGGCGCGAGCGAGACCATCCGTTTCTCCATCCACGCGACCGCCTCTTGTTCCACGGAGATGAAAATGGAGTAATGCCGGGAGCGATTCTGTGATTTACCGTGGACCAACAGCCAGAAAGGGATTCAGCACACGTATTGTGAACCGTGTGCAGAGGCCTTCTTCTTCTTGTTCTTCTTCTTCTGCTTCTTCTTCTTCTTGTTCTTCTTTCTGCCGTTCCTGCCGGCTGGAATCTCTGGAAATGCCACTGTGATTTGTGCGACCGGTTACCGTTTCCATTTGCATATACCTATCGGCTCTTTCGTACATTGTTATCTTCGTTGCCACGTGATTCTCTGGTCTAATAGCCTGACATGAAGTAATCCCGGTAGTCGTTTCCTCTATTTCGTGGAACGTTAGGTAGACGTGTTTGGTCATCAGCTGCCTGTGTAGTTAATCGATTTTTCACCCTGTTCACACTGAAGGTGGTTTCCCATCATCGTTCCTGGATTTTCTTTTTTCTTGTTTTAATTACATTCGTGCGTGCGTGAGGATAATACAAGATTGATCTACGATCTCTCGAAAAAGCATCTGGTGAAAGTGGTATTTGATTAGACAATGGTGTCATTTAAACGAAAGTTCCTAATTGTCAAGAATTTTTATAATTATTTAACGAAAAATATTTTACAACACCATCACCATCCTCAAATTTCACAAATCCACAAGTACCACCTTCTCCAGTTGTTAAATTTGCAAGTCTTTCCGTATTTAAACTCACGTATATTAATCTTCTAAATAATTTTTGTAATAATCCAGATAAATTATACAAGACCGTACTCTAATACTCTTGGACAGTAATGTTACCAACCTGACAAGTGTATCATAATTACCAATGTCTAGAATAAGAAAACGTATACATGAAATCTTGCAAAGCGTTCTGGTATACTTGGCATTATAGTATAAATAGTGTTTACGTTGAGCCAGCTTTTTTCTTTTGTTACTGATGTGATTACAGTGAGGACGCTGGGCGTAGCGGCGACGAAATGAAGCATGCAGCATGCGTGGTAGCGGTGTCACGGCTGCGCGGTCCTGCCTTCAACCCCTGGTGTCCGCCAGCCGCTACCTCGCCGTGCAAGCCCTTCCCGGTGATCCTCTTTACTTCGTCGTTGAGGTGAGTACGAGTTACATTATTAAACGGAGGGGAATAATTCATGACGACAATGCATATTCAAGATGCGACGTGTATAACCGTTTCCATCTTGTTCCGTTACACATGGTAATTCCGAGTCATGTATTTTCCATAGAACTCCGGCATTATCTTCTAATGAGAAACAATAACGTTGACGCAGGTAGCTCGTATAGATTCCAAGACGACCATCATTTTTCTGGCCGACGATGATGTTTTCCCCTCGCATGCGTATCGCTTTACACCGGAGAAATAATGGTAGATATCGTTTGATATATTCGAGAAGCATTTTATGAATATTATTAATACCGAGATTTGAATTATTTATAACCCACAGGGTATTCTTTATGCTACTGCGGAAATTTTGTTGGCATATTTTACGGCTAAAAATAACGCATAAATGTTATATAAATATAGATTCACAAGCGGTTTACTAAAACTTTATTACGAGGATATTAAACGATACGACACGATGATAACGATAAAAGGGTTACTCTTGATAAAATTAAACGCGAGGGCAGTGTGGTGCAAAAATTCGTAATAGGCTTAGCAGTATGTACGTACGTTAATATTAGCCTGGTATCTGTACGGTGGTACTTGGTAGAAAATATATACAAACAGTGTTTCTTTCATAAATCAATAGCTTTTTATCCCCGATATACACGTGTACCAAGGTAAACCTTGTACACAAATCTCAACGTATCTGTCAATAAATCTTTCCCAGGCGAACGAAATGAAAAATAAAGAGAAACGTTTTACAGAACGCGTTATAAAACCCATATATAAAATATCGCATTATCTGCTCTACAAACAAGTTGAATAAACTATAGAATAAGCACCGTAGACATACGATGTTCTATGGAACACGCGAGTATTCTTTTCTCTCGCGCAATGAAATTCTAACCTATACGTCGCGTAAACACGTTGCGTCACTCGTTGCGTCGCGCCTCTCGCGGCGAGTTGGGAACTAAAACGACCCGGTTTTTTCGAAAGGGAAGCGTGTACCATCGTGTTCCATCCTGCGTCTCGTGCAGAAACGTGCAACATGCTCGCGAAATACCAGAGTTTATCGGAACATGTGCATCGCGATGTCGAGGGCACGCCCGGATTTTCTAATCGTGGAATGCGATTAGTTACATCCGCGGCGCGCGTGGGCGTGCGAGAGCGGAATAACCGATGCGAGAGAAACCGGCGTATAGTATAGTCGATATATTAAGGCGTGCGAAGGTACATGCACCTGCCTTGTCCTCCCTAAGAGTCATTTACAACCGGCAGGCTGCGGGAGTGAAGAGGAACGCCCGGTACTATGTAGAATGGCTAATTGAAAAAGTTTCTGGCTCGGTTAGTTTGTAACGTAGCACCGTACTCTACAGGGTGTTTCAGAGTTATGGGTTAATCAGGTAGCGGCTGGTAGGGGATAACGAGCGAGGGATATTTTATTTGATAAATGTACAGGGTGAGTCCGATAACTGGACTACGTTAAATTATTCTAGATATAAATTACGATGAATTATTGCAGAATATTATACGAGGAAAGGTTTTGATGAAGTTCACGTGGTATATATAGCGGAATATATTATTTTCCTACTTTATTGGGATATCAATATTCTTTTCATAGAATCTGTAAAATTTGTTTTCGTAATTGGCAGCAATATTGGGAGCTGGATTTTAAAAAGTGAGGTTAGGAAGGTTCGATATTTAAGAATTAAAATTTTATATATTATAATTAACGCATTTATATTATTCGTGTATTTTATGTTATCTTCATTAAAAATTTTGCAATTAACGATATTGAATATTGTTAAAATTTAAGTAAGAAAAATAGCATTTCGAAAGTAATAGGTTTTGCAGTGTCTCTTGTTAAACAATAATATAAATTCGAGCGTGTGTTTGTTATACGTTTATCGAGTCTTTTATTATCTATCTGGTCGATATTCAATTTTGAAACGCTCTATATAATTCTTCTCGTCGCGCGATTGAATCGTTGCCCGGAGGATTTACTTTAGAATTTTGAGCAGAAGAGTCGGACATGAGCTGAGATGCAAACAATGCCAATAGAGAGTCTAGAACAACATCGTAGTACGAGAATTCTCAGCCACGGTGTTTTGCACGTTTGTTCCCGCTAACGAGACGCGAAACGCTCGACTTGGTTCACGTTTCGCCGCGCACGTGCGAGGCTTAATATATTTGTAAGGGTTACCAAATGTTCAACCAAGTAGTTTACCTTATTGCTACAAAAACGCGAGATGCGATTAAAAAACGTCCGGGGTATGTACATACAATACAAAATTCTACTTTTGCTTATCAAAAGTAGAATTAGTTACAGTATTCTAAAGTCTGATAATCATTAATTTTTTTAATTTAATTAAATTAATTTTAAAATTAATGAAATTAATTTTAATTAAATTAGAAGATTTCTGGGGAATTTGGTACTTTTTGATTAAACTAGTTTAATATTATTCTGAAATTATTTTTGATAGGTGCATTTAACAAATTTCTGTCCACGAATTATATTCTTATTATTAAAAACCTGAACGTTCCTCGATCTCATTAATCCCTTAAACACCATAAAATTTTTATACTCTAAAATTTTCGAGGTGAATAAAAAGGGTTAATAAAAATCTCTAATGTGAGTTAGTAATCAAAAAATTACTCGTTGGTTGGTTTTGATATCGATAAACGTCTCTCGCACACGACGGGTCGTCGAGAAACGAATTCGGAAACGAAGAAATTATTCACACGATTTCACGTCTGACAGATACTCGGAACATTACGTGTCTCATAATCCTGTCCCAACCCCATCTTTTTGCCGGTTCACGGTAGAACGCGTGCCATCGTAAATTTTTCAACGCTCGTGAAAAATGAGTGATCTCGTTTGGTGGCGCGCGTTTATCAAGAACGGGCCACGGTGTATACACGCGCGATTCATCATCGTTCCGAGAGAGTTGTGATTGCAGTTAAAAGAGTTGTTGCCGATTAAATCTGTCGGAATAAAGGCTGGTTTTGATAGCGCGTTTTATTTAACGATTCGTAAGACACACGATTATATCGCGGCGTTTAGCCGTCGACATGACTGATGCACCTCACGTAAATAACCACTTGTAAATTCCATCCTTTCTTTTCACCTTTCTCCGTTCCCTTTTATCGTTCGCTCGTCACCGCGTTTAATCTCCGATCTCGCCGCGCGCCATTTTCAAATTGCGCGCTCCCTGCCGCGCGCCATTTTCAAATTACGCGCTGCTTGCCGCCGCGTCCGCGCGACCTTATCGGCCGGATTATTATGCTTCTTCCGCACGTTTCTCGGGAATAAGTGTTTCCTTTGGCCAGTTTTTACACGAAACAACGGATTTCATTGATTAAAAGTTCGCCTGCGCGATGTTTTGCCAGAGATCGGACATTTCCTAATGGCGCTTCTGTAACGAGCTCATTAGCGCGAGTCCATGTTTTTCGCAAATGGGGAGGAAGCAACCTTGTTTGCGTTCGTCGTCTTCTGCTCACGACATTTCCCATGACACTGTGTGAAAAAACTATCTTATCGATTTTTTCTTTTTTTTCTGTCTCCCATTTTTCCTTTTTTTCTCTCTCTCTCTTTGTTCTGTTTGCCAAGCGAAACTTCCTCTCACGTCCGCCCTTTTTCGCGCGGCTCAAGCTTCTCCATGCTGTTCCACATAGGAAAGAAGCTGTAATTGATTGGATTTCTTGTCGATTTGCTGTGAAATGTACAGTGGGTGGATAGAGATTGATTTTGTGCTTGGCTCGTCTGCGAATTGTGTTTTGTTGCGAATCCGATTGTCCGTGTAAGGAATGTACACATATACAGAGTGTCCCGTTTAAATCGAACGTGTAAATAATTTCCGATACTATATCGGAGGTATAGAAAAATATCCAAAGGGTGTTTAAATTGTTTCAAGATGCATACTCGACGATAGTAAAATGAGGATACAATTTTTCAAGGTCATCTTGAAGGGTGTTTCAAACTCGCTATCACTTTTTGTTCCCTGGAGGATGCTCTTAAAATCCCGAAGGAACTTTTCCAAAAATGGCCTTTCTTTTAACATCCTTTGCTTTTCGTTCTCGTAAAGATTCTCGTGGTAGAAGGATCGCGTGGCGGTCGGGCGAAGGCGGTGGTAAAGCGTTTCAATGGCAAGGTTTCCGCAACAAAGTCGATTTGCTCGTTCGAGGCTATTGCCTGTTCGCGTCGTTAGACAAACCATCTGCACGGAGCGTACACGCGGTTACGGGCACGCCGGCAGCGTTCTAGCGCACCTTCTCACACGATACCATCTCCCTAATTATAGCCAGGCTCATTTGTAACGACGAATCTGAATTCCCGGTTGCCAAGGAAATTCCTCGTTCTGCCTGCGTGGCCCCGCCGTTCGCCTGCTGTGAAATCAACGGACTGAGATTCTAGCCTCGTTACGCCGATCAACTGAAAGTACTCGGCTGTACTTATTAAGCTCTGATGCGCAGGGCGAGGCCCGTGATGAGCCAACGTGTCCGTAAATATCGATAGCCCCGGAAAAGAGTTCCTTTCGGACTGTTCGAAAATATTTTCGAATTTCGCTAGTTAATCCACATTGCCCGGGAAAATGCTATTTCAAATCGTGAATGGGAAATAGATATTTTTGTTTACATCGTGGATGTATATTTATCTGATGTATGAAAGAAGAGAGGGCAAATGAGAGAGTAGTGGGATAGGTCAGTTGCGATTCAGATTTCATTGAGAGCAGACCTGGGAGGTTGGTAGGAAAGAGAGAATATAATTGGATATATTTCATGAGCAATTTTCACGCTGTCGACTAACACGCGTTGACTGCCATGGTGACAAAATTCAGAACGATTCAGAGCCATCGTTTCTCGTTCCGCGTGCCATACGATTAACCTACTAACCATAAAAGGCGATTTTCTCCCTTGCTTCGAATCGTCGGATAATTCGAGTCTATTTTCCGCCGATTACCTGCTCGCTAACAGGAAACAAAGAAGTG